CATTGAAGCCTGTCAGCGCAGCCAGCCGTTGCATGGGCTTCTTGAAGCTGTCCTTGGTCTTGATTGCCGCCAGCCCTTCTGTGCCGAGCTGTAGCTCATCCTGCAAGCTGCGGGCTGCTCTAGAGATGCGGCGAGCAAGCTCCATCTCCGTGAACAGGTGCAGCACGTCGCCCACCACACCGCTTGGGAAGGTGTAGTTGGGGATCTGAGTAGTGGACTTGCCCATCCTGCCTGTTGGGCACCAGAGTAGGGAAAGAAGGGTCAAGAGCGTCGGGTTTGTAGAGACTGGGCAGAGCCACGCGCTGCCCATTGTTAAAACAAGCTGACGAGCAGGGGCAGCTTTCCACAGCCGCGGGCCACCCACCACATGTCAGATGCATACCTGCTTCTGAATCTAGAACCTGCACCATGGTATCGCCGCCCATATCCTCCTGGCGCCGTTGGAGCACAAAAGATGTCAGCGAGCCCTGGAACTTGGACAGATGAGCAGAGCCGGCATCCCGCCGGGCGGAGGGTTCATTCATTCATTCAGCACACAGACCGGCCGCCTCTTGCTCGAGGGCGGCCCACTTTGGCCTGGGCAGCCCGGGCCGCCCTCCCCCCCGGGCGCATGTTCGGTGTTGGAGGGGTGCGCCCAGCGATAGGGGGCCCCTGAAGGCATGCGCCGAGGCCGGGAAGCGTGGTTCGGCGCTGCTGCACGCTTGGCGACTTGAACAGAACCGCGTGCCGCCGAGCTGCGGCCGCAGTTTCCGGCCCACAGTCTACGGCCGCAGCCACGGGACTCGGCGGCACGGCGTTTGGGCCCAAGCTTGCTGCCGCCGCCGCCGCCGTGCCCGGGGGGCAGCGCGGCGGCGGCGGCGGCACGCTGCGACGCCCCCGAGCCACCGAGCTGCGGCCGTAGCTTCCTGCCAGAAGCCCACGGCCACAGCCACGGGACTCGGCGGCACGGCGTTTCGGTCCACGGCTTGCTGCCGCCGCCGTCGCAGGGGTGCTGCCTGCGGCGGCGGCGGCACGGCGTTTGGGTCCACGGCTTGCTGCCGCTGCCGCCGCCGCAGGGGTGCTGCCTGCGGCGGCGGCGGTAGCGCACGTGGCAACCCCCCGCGCTTCCTTGCCTCCCATCCACCGGACCCCGTCCTGCGCTTCACTTTGTTTCGGGAGGGGCTGCTCACTGCTCATTGCTCATTGCTCATCGCACACTGCTCAACGCTCATTGCCCTATATCCCACCCAGCCGCAGGACTCTACTGCCGCCCGCGCCCCGCCCCATCTGGCCGCTTGCGCGCCCCATCCCCCCTCGATGGGGCCCGCCCACACCGGGGCCTCCCCCCTCCCGCCCACTGCTTTCTCAACGGCCCCGAGCCGGGGCTGCCCTCATTGCATACATAGTGCGCCTTTCCCTGCTTTTCTAGTGACCTAGCGTTCCGCACTGCCGTTTGGCCAGCCCATGCTCCCGTACCGTTGCGTTTCTCCCCAATGCGCCATGCCACTTTGCCAGTCATACACACGTTTCGATGCGTGCCCTGTCAGCTGCTTGCGTTGCATGTCGCCTTGCTCCACCCCTGTTTTATTGCTTTCTCTGCTTTCGCCCGGTTCCCGTCCCGTTTCGGCGGGGAGTCTATGTTGCAAGCTAGTTCTTGCTTTACCAGACTTTAAGCCCACACAAGCAAGCAGTGCCTGCAGAATCCTGCGCAATGCTCGCTTGCTCTCTCACCACCAGCTTGATGGATCCCTGCACGTCCCCACCATGCCGCTGCTTCCAACCCTGGATGGAGAGGTCGCCCACTAGTTCAGCCGTCTCATTCAGGACGTACAAATCTGGTCCAGTGTCGCTGCAGGCGGCAGGACATAACGCAGGGGAGCAGGCGGCAGGCCCCATCGGGGCATCAAGACCAAACCCGCAAGCAAGCCCCCCCGGCCCCTACTTAGACGCCAGTAAAACATTTGCAGACAGCCTCATCAACGCAGCTGCCTTGACTGGTGTAGTTTGGCAGGTGTTGCGTTCCCTGATGATGCGCGCCGCAGCGGCCCACCCCCGCACCTAAACCGCCGCTTCTTAGCCTTCATTTCATCCTGGTGACGTCCGCTGTCATATTCCGGCGCAGGAGGAAGGAGCGCGTAGGTCGTCAGGTTGTCGAGCAGTGTCTTGCCCACGCCCGTGTCCCCCGCCAGCCCCACTGTGGTGGGCTTGATTCCATCCTCCACGGTCTTCTTCAGCTCTGGCAGCCGCTCCTCTACTCCGTCAACAAGCGCGTAGGACCGACAACTCTCCAGCGTCTTGCGCCCCTGCGCTAGCAGGTTACCGCCCAGCAGTAACCCCATGAGACGTTCAATTGTGCAAGCAAAGGTCCAAAAGCAGTAGGGGAGCCATGACTAGGGTTACCAAGGCCAGCGGGGCCCCCCTCAGGCTGCCGTGCGATCGTATCAGCCCAGCCATGCAAGTGCACCGCTCTGAAAAGACTCCACAGTCTCAGCACAAAGGACAAGGTGACGAGGAAGCAGGGCGCCGGACAAGGGATGGCACCCACTACTCGCGTCGACGCGGGCCGCCACCGCACGCGCCACTTCAGTCCTGCCAGCGAGCGAGGAGATACCCTTCCATTCTGACCAGCCTTCACCACGGTATGGCTGTACTGGACTGCTGGACCCCAGTATTGGAACAGACACAGCGCGCTTGGCGGCTGCCTGACCGTCGCCACTGCCTGGCTGCGGGCGGATGGCGGCCCCGGCTCGCCGGCGGCGGCACAGCTGACGGCCTGGGCCTTTGTTGCGTTCTACGCCTGCTGCTGCGCTGACACGTGGAGCAGCGAGCTGGGCATCGCCAGTGGCTGTCCGCCACGCTTGATCACCACTGGGAGTGTGGTGCCGCCTGGCAATAATGGCGGCGTGTCCCCGCTGGGCACGGCGGCAGCAGCAGCAGGCGGCCTGCTCATGGGCGCCTGCTACGTGGCTGCCGCGGGGCTGTCGACCGCGCTGGCTGCTGGCACCGGCTTCAACAGTGCTGCATCTGGGCCCGGCGCTTGCCAGACTGGTGCGGCGGCAGACTGGCGGCTGGTGCCGCTGGCTGTGGCAGCGGGCGTGGGAGGCTCACTGCTGGACAGCCTGTTGGGTGCCACGCTGCAATTCAGCGGCGTCGACGAGCGCAGCGGCAAGGTGGTGTCTGGCATGCCCGCGGTGGGCACGCCGGCCGCTGCAGCGGTGCGCCACATCAGCGGCCGCGATGTGCTCAGCAACACGGGCGTGAATGTGGCGGCCAGCCTGGCGACAGCTGCGCTGGCGGCGACGGCAGCATCACGCCTGCTGCCCCCGTGCTGAGCTGGGCAGGCAGCGGCGGCCCATTCTGGGGCTTGCATCCAGCAGAGGGGCGTGCGTTTTACAGATCCTGGCATTGCCTGGCAACAACATGTGGCGTGCTGCACAATCTACAGCAACAGCATACGCGACTGATTTGCCAATGTGTAAACAGAAGCTGGCAGTGAATAGTGGTGGCTTGCAGTGCGGCAAAACTGGGCAGCAGTGTACAGGTGCGTACAGGTAAAGAGGAGTCATGAGTGGTGAAATACGGGCGGTAAGGGTCCCGGGGTGGGAGGGGGTTTGGTCAGAGGCCCCAGGCCTGCACCTTGCCGTCTGCCGTCCCCGTGTAGAGCCGGTGGCTGGCCTGGTCATACAGCAGCGCCGTCACATGCTTCAGCGCAGCAGCAGCAACTGCGGAAGCAGTGGGATGGCCGCCTCTTCTGCTGCCAGCGGGGCCCAACGGGTGTGCCCCTCCTGCCTGCTCCGGCTGCTGCACTGCCGCCACGTGGCACCCAGTCAGCAGGTCAAACACCCGCACACAGCCCAGGTGCGTCGTGTCCTGCCTGCCGCCGCCGCTGCCTTGTGCAGCACTGCCAGCCCTGCCGTCTGCTGCTCCCCGCTCCTGCTGCCCTGCTGCTGTGAGGCCGCCGGGGGGGGCGCTGTCTGGAGCTGTACTGCTGGCTGGTGGGCAGTACACAAACAACAAGTCTTGGGTGTTGCTGACATACACAGTGTTGGCGGTGGTGGAGAGGGCGGCCCCCGCCAGGGTGGCCAGCCGCTCCCCCTGGAAGTTCCACAGCTGCATATGAACAGACAAGCGGGGCAGCAGGAGGCATCTGGTGAGCTCATACGCGGCCCTGGCAAGCCAGCAAGGGACCACCAGAGCAGCTCCCAATCAAGGCCTCCTGGTCTGATGCAAAGCATGCACTGAGGACAGCATGCATGCGGCAGCCAGCGCAGCCCACCTGCGCGCCGTGCGCCCCCCAGAACGCCAGGAACAGGCGGTTGAAGGGCAGGTGGATGAAGGCTTCGGGGGCGGGGAACTGAGCAGCGCCGACCTCCCTGCAGGCCCACAAAGCCGCCAGGCAGGCAGGCGCATGCGTGAGTCGGGATGCCGGCGCTGCTTGCTGGAGATCGACGCTTTGCCACGG